CATGTTTTGGAATGGTAGAATACTGATATGTTTCATTCTATTGCCAATTGGCATACTTATACAGTAAGCTGCTGCAATAAATAGAAAGAAAGAAAAATAGAAAGAAGAAAAAAGAAATTACAAAAATAGAAAGAAAAACTTTCTAAATCAATCCTTCCACAATCTTTGGAATATATACAATTCTATTTTCAGATCTGAACCAGTAACCCCACGTTTTCCAACAGTTTATATCCTTAAAATTGACCTGGGCATTTTCTATTCTCTGTAATTGCTGTTTTGGTGGATCACTATAATGGAAAATTTGGGCAGTTGGCTATTAGGATTACATTTCTTTTTGCTAGGAAAACTTGGAGGTGTAGGTGGGATTTAATCCCTGCTAGCACCTTAAGATTATGCTTGGGCATTGTATTTGTTTCCTTCCCTGTAGATTGATAGTACATCGGTTGTCCTTTAAATGTAATTTAGATCATGAACTTTTCCCTTGAACAAAAAACTTGGTTGTCCTATAAGGTTCATATGTGGTATGTCTCCCTTCCATTGGGCTTTCTCCTGCTTTTAGTCATGCAGAGATCTGGCAGTCTTATTCATATATAATTTACAAAAATAACTTCTGTTATCTGCATCTCATTCTATGTTCATCATGTTTTGGAAATGATTTTGCTGATAAAAAAATGTTTTGGAAATGATTCAGAAGACAGCAGCTGGTGGCCGGTTTTGGCACCGGAGAAAGCAGTCTGTGGAGATTGATTTTGATATTCTTAATGATGAGTGTGCTCAAAACGCTGCTCTACTGACTGGTCGTGCCAATGACCAATCAAATTCAGATAGCATCAGATCCCCTGCTAGTTCATTCCAAGTACAACCGGTGCAGGTTGAACGAAATACCAAAGAAGAATGGGCTGCCACACGCATCCAAACAGCTTTTCGAGGATTTCTGGTATGAAAACATCTATCTTCAATTGTATAGTTGTCAATTGTTATTATCTGAATAAGTCTGTTTTAGACTCATCCAAATAACTCTTCTTGGGATACCTCATATTATTTCCTGAAGAAAACTTTGGCAATGAGTTGGTGGATTTGGACCTAGGATACTGAGATTTCAGTTCATCCCTAGTATTAGTGTCCATCTAATCTAATGCAATTTTTGACTCCCATGGGGATTTTTTGATTGTCTATCTCAATTTTGAATTAACCAAGATTTGTGTTTTCTTATATACATTTTAATAGTGATCCTGAATAAAATGCAAATCTCATAAAATGCTATGATACTTAATCTTGATGTAGGATTGGACATACTGATCCTTGTTAATTAGCCTTCTCAAACTATTATACTTGAATGGCATTTACATGTTCTCATACGATGATGGATTGGGTCTGGGCTGGATTGGGGTAGACCACAGTTGTCATGGTGTTTAGGTGACAGTGGAGTGCCAAGTCACCTATGTCTAGTTGCCTAAGTGGGGCCTAGGCATTATATAAGTAATAGAATTTTACAAATAAAATCTAAATTCTAGGTTACTTCCCTGATTTTACTTATCAATCAGCTTGCACATGAATTGAAAGAAAATAATAATGCTCTTTACTAAAACCATTAATTTTCCCCTTAAAACATGACAAATCATCATATCTAAGAGATAATGACTAGATAATGGAATTTTAAATCAATTATTTTAGTATTTCAAACACAAAACTGAGTTACAAAATTAAGATACAATTGTCAACCCCTAAAATAGGGTGTTGAGCCCAAGTAATCTGAATTACAAAGCTGCCTAGAACAAAATTTTCCTCATAGTTCCTTGTTTGGCTAAGGTATCAGCTAGACCATTTGTTTATCTTCTTGTCCACTTGAAGCAAGCACCAATCTCCCTTGGATTTCCTTTATGGGCTGTCTATAAATCCATGCTCCCAATTCGCCTGATTGCAGCCAATCAATTAACAACTTAGAGTCTCCTATAACTTGGTGTAACACCAATTGTTTGCCATATCTCACACCTTGAAGCAAATCCATCACCTCCGCTCTCAATGAGTCCCCCATCCCTATTGGCCCTGAAAACATGGCAACAGTTCTCCCATCTTCATCTCCGAATACTCCCCCTATACCTGAAGGGCTTGGGTTACCTCTAGAGCTCCCATCAAAGTTCAACTTTATTCTTTGTTGTGTTGTTGGGGACAATAGTTCCTACACGCTAGGTTTGTGGATGATGTAGCTGCCACCACTCCCCAATTCCTAAATATGTTCTTCGCTGAGAATTCTTTAAACAAGGCCATTCAACCAGGGGATAGTCATAATGGTTATTCTTTCTACAATTTCCTACTTGGATTTTTTTTGATAAATACTTTCCTACTTGGATTTCTCCACTCCTTTAAAGATCCTATTATTTCTTTCTTTACAGACTGACCAGAGTATAGCTGCTCTGTTCACTCTCCACATTAGTCTTCCATGCCTCTTCGGTTGCATGAAAAAGCTTAGGGCAAAAAGGCTTACCACGTCTAGGGGAGGTGTCCACCTGCAACCAAAGAGAGAAGTGAACTAGGACCAAAAGACCACAAAAGGACAAGATGTTAATAGGTGTGTGATCATCTCACTAGAATCCAAGTAGAGGCTACAAACATGGGGTGAAAGGCAAAAATTTGGCCTTTTTCTTTGCAACACATTTAAAGTACTGATTTTTTTGAAAAACCACCTCCTAGCAAAAAGCCCAAATTTTTAGAGGTGCAGAGCTACACCAAGCCTCCTTTGATGGAAAGTTCCTTGCAAGGTTAGTTGATTGAAGGAGGATATTAAAGAAAGAAGAACAAGTGAAAACACCAGAAGGGGAAGGTTTCCAAATTCTATTATCCATCAATGCCATTTCCAACTAGGGGTGCAAATGGATCGGATCATGATCCGATCCGATCATATTTTGTCGAATTTGGATCTTTGGATCAGATAATAGTATCTGATTAGAATTTGAATCGGATTTGGACCACCCCTATCCGATCCGATATATACGCTATTTATTTATTTATATAAATATATATAACACATATATATGTGATTTATTTATTTATAAATATACTATTTATATTACATTTTTGTAAATTTATTATATTATTTATTTTTTATAAAAACCATGTATATATATGATCAAAATAGTTAAAGATACTTGTATTTTTTGTGTTTCTTTATTTAAATTGTTATATTTTATTGTTCTATTAATAGTTTATTTATTCATTTTTTTTAAATCAGATTGGATCGGAGCAGATCCGAAGATCCAACGGTCTCATTGGATTGGACTTCAAATCCACGTTTATGAGATCTGATCGGATCTCCCTTTAACGGTGTCGGACTGGATCCGGATATACCCTGATTCGAATCCAATCCGATCCGTTTGCATCCCTATTTCCAACTCCCTTAGTCCTCTCCTCAATCCCAAGACCCAGGAATTATCAACAAAAACTGAAGAGATCACTTTTCTTTTATTTTCTGACAGTGAATAAATAGTAGGGAACCTTTCACTTAGGGGAATCTCTCCAATCCAAGCATCTTCCCAAAATATTTAATAGTGCAACATATGTTAAAAGATTTTTAGAAACTAAGGAAGGCTATAATTTTACACTAACGAAGAAAATTCTATGAGAGGGGGAAACAAAATGGGAAAAAGAACAAGGGACAGAGCCATTTTTCTATTTAATGTGTGTATGTTGTGTGAGGGGGTAAAATCCTTAAACACAGTATAAATAATATACATAATATATGACGGGATAATAGGATGTATTACTTCACATATTAATAATATGTAGCTGTAGTAATTATATTACCATAAGGTACCTGCCTTGTGAAATTTGTTGCCTATGTGGGTGCCTTGTCACCTGGCGACACCTTGACAATTATGAGGTAGACCCATTATGGACTAGCTTGGAAACTATAGAACCAGAATTGGTCCTATTTAATCAAGCTTATTGAATCTGACCAGGTAATAAAACTATAAATTCTACATGTATAAGTTATATTATGATAAATTATATTACATTATATCATTTTTTATCTTCATTGGGTTGGATTGAATATTTTTGTGTTTTTGTATTTTCTATTTTTTAGCATCCCTGATCATATTGAAATAGGAGTCCAAAATATCTTTTCCTTTTTCTGTTTGGCAGGCCAGAAGAGCATTGCGAGCTTTAAAAGGATTAGTAAGACTTCAGGCTCTTGTCAGGGGTCATGCAGTAAGAAAACAAGCTGCAATAACCCTTCGTTGTATGCAAGCTTTAGTGAGAGTTCAGGCTCGTGTCCGAGCACGGCGTGTTCGTATGGCATTGGAAAGTCAGATGGAAGAGCAAAAACTTAAGAAACAACTTGCACACGAGGCTCATGTTCGAGAAATTGAGGTAAATCAATCATCTGAGGACAGTATAAAGTAATGTTGCAAGACTCAGATTGGACTGAATGGTTGGACTGTGAAAACTGGGAACGGCAGCCATTCTGTTTTTGTTTTAGAACACTAGTTCTCAAATCTCTGACTGGTTGACCCATCAGAAGTCTGTGATAACTCTTGACCCATCTGGGGCACTGCTTTATCACAAATCATAAAATGCCAATAACAAGATTCAAACCTGTGATCTCTTGTGTAGAATAGCAAACTACCATTGACCCATTATGCTATTTGTGTTTGTTTTTTGTCTCTTTAACATTTATAATTCTATATTGATCAAATGTTTGTGTTTGTGTGTGTGTGCATATATATATATATATCAATATATATTATAAAACAAAGCGGTCAAGAAATTTTCTCTTTTTTTTGAATTTTTTATTTTTTTTATTCCATGTCATTTTTGAAACAACCAATGAGATGCACTTTCCCAATAACCTAAATAATCTCTTCTCCTAAAATTTATCCTAAACTACCTCCCCCACTTTCTCTAGACTTATCTCTAATTCCTATTTATCTTCTAAATTATCTATAATTTCTATTTATCTCCACAATTATCTCTAATTTAGTAGAGAGTTGCTCTCCTATATTATCTCTAATTCCTATTTATCCTCTCCCCTACTTTTTATCTATATCTATCTAAAGAAAGTTTGGATTAAAGAATTTAAGAATTATTTAAATATTCTAACAAAATTGTATAATAACTTTAAAATATTTATTAAAAACACAAAATAATTTTTTATTTTTACAAAATATATCACGAAATTATGTACTAACAATTTCAATTATGTTTTTCCGGATTATCAATTTAAATGATTTTCAAATATTTAATAATATGTAATAGCTTTAAATAAATAAAATTTAAATAACAAAAAAATTAAATATTTTATAGATTATTTAAATATTTAAATAACTAAATATTTATCATAATTATATTTTACATAGTTAAAATAACGAAATTATGTAATAAATAATTTTATATTTTTTACAAAATATATCACGGAATTATGTACTAACAATTTAAATTTGCTTTTTAAGGATAATCAATTTAAATGTTTTTTAAACATTTAATAATATGTAATAGATTAAAATAAATAAAATTCGAATAACAAAAAATTTAAATATTTTATAGATTATTTAAATATTTAAATAACTAGATATCTATCATAACTAGATTTTAAATAGTTAAAATAACGAAATTATGTAATAAATTTAAAAAAATTTCTTTAAAGCAGAAAAATAATTATAACATAATATTGAAATTAATAATAATTTAATATGTTACAAAATTAATAGTGAAGTTATGTAATAATAGTATAAACTATTATTTTATGGATAATTAAATTCCATAAACAACTAATATTTGAAAATTTAAATATTTTACATAATATTTAAGTATTTAAATAACTGGGTATTTTAAATAACAAAATATTTAACATAACTAGATTTTAAATAGTTAAAATAAAGAAATTATGTAATAAATTTAAAAATTTTCTGAAAAGTAGAAAAATAATTATAACATAATATTGAAATTAATAATAATTTAATAATTTTACATAATATTGTAAATAACTAATTTCACTTATATCAAGTAATAATTCGAGAAAATAACTTTCAAAAATATTAATATTTATTAATAATAATTTTAAACTCTTAATCCATATTTATTATATAATTATATATACTAAAGTTAATATTTATTGTATTTCAATAATTATCTAATGTTTTTGTGATAAATATATTTTTAATGATTATGTATAAATTTATTTTGTTTTGTTATTTAATAGAAAACTTTCAATAATTATTGGAGATTAAACTACTATTCATGAATTTTTAAATTTAATTTATTGTACTTATTGACTAAGTTAATTTATTTTTAGTACTTATTGTATTTTTGTAATTATCAGTATATTTTCAATAATTATTGGAGATTAAACTATTGTTATTTATCAGAGATGAGACTATTAATTTCGCTGAAATTATGAGTGTTCATGAGTTGGTTCAGTTTGGTCGTAGGCTATTTAGCCAACCAAATTGACCTGGTTAGGTGAAACCGATTGACCTTTTGTAAAAACTAACCCACTCAAGTTGTATCGGTTTGGGTCGATTTTTTGGTTTGGTCAGTCGGTTCAAAAGATTTAAACTTAAAAATTAAATTAAATTTTAAAAATTATAGTACAATTATTAAAAAGTAAATTTAAAAATTAGATTTATGTTATAAAACATTTTAGACTAGGAAATATGGGAAATTTCCCAATTTTCCATATTAAAAATTATATTTAAAATATAAAATATTAATATATATCCATGGTTCGGTCATTCGATTTTGGTTGGTTTACAAATGGCCAAAGTGAAATTGATCAAACTTGGTCAAATTGGGAAATTTTTGAACCAAAGCCAACCTAAAATACTAGAAAACCGACAAACTCAGGTCGAGTTGATCGGGTTGTTGGTTTCATCAGTTTGATGAATAAACCTAACTGAAATTAATTATTGTTAATTTTGTATTAAAGTAGTATATAAAATATGAATAATTATTAATTATTTAAAAAGTTGAAAATATAAAACAATTGTATACTCTTATGTGATTCTTCTATTAGGGTCATTTACTAGAACCCATCTTATAGTTTTACATATTTACGTAAACCTACCTTATAGTTTTCATTTTATTAAAACATCCCATATATTTTACAACTTATTTACTTAATCAACCTTTTATTAACGAGTGTTGTTTTTCCATTACAGTGGTTGCTTGTGTCTTATAAAAGGGCGAAAATGGTATTTTTTTTAATTTCTTTTAATTAAATTTATTAAAATGAACATTAGGGTGAACATTATCATTTTCCACTGTCATCTAATGGAAGATTGATTAAATCCATTGCAAATTATAAGTGGTGTTTAAGTAAAATTTTAACTATAGGGTAGATTTTAGTAAATACATGAAACTATAAGGGGTATTTTAGTAAATGACCCTTTCTATCCCCTACTTTCTACCAAATTATCTCTAATTCCTATTTATCTTCTAAATTATCTCTAATTCCTTTTTATCTCCAAAATTATCTCTAATTTAGTAGAGAGTTTCTCTTCTAAATTATCTCAAATTCCTATTTATCCTCTCCCCTACCTTTTATCTATATCTGTCTAAAGAAAGTTTGGACTAAACAATTTATGAATGATTTAAATATTCTAACAAAATTATATAATAACTTTAAATATTTATTAAAAACACAAAAGTAATTTTATATTTTACAAAATATATCACGAAATTATGTATTGTCAATTTAAATTATGTTTTTCCGGATCATCAATTTAAATGTTTTTCAAATATTTAATGATATGTAATACCTTTAAATAAATAAAATTCAAATAACAAAAACAATTTAAATATTTATCATAACTAGATTTTAAATAGTTAAAATAACAGAATTATGTAATAAATTTAAAAAAAATTCTTCAAAGTAGAAAAATAATTATAACATAATATTGAAATTAATAATAATTTAATATTACAAAATTAATAATGAATTTATGTAATAATAGTATAAATTATGATTTTATGGATAATTAAAATTCAATAAATAATTAATATTTTATATATTATTTAAGTATTTAAATAACTAAATGTTTTAAATAACAAAATATTTAACAGAACTAGATTTAAATAGTTAAAATAAAGAAATTAAGTAATAAATTTAAAAAAATCTGAAAAGTAGAAAAATAATTATAACATATTATTGAAATTAATAATAATTTAATATTTTTACATAATAATGTAAATAACTAATTTCACTTATATCAAGTAATAATTTGAGAAATTAGCTTTCATAAAAATTATTATTTATTAATAATAATTTTAAACTCTTAATCTGTATTTGTTATATAATTATAGATACTAAAATTAATATTTATTGTATTTCAGTAATTATTTATTGTTTTTTTGATAAATGTATTTCCAATGATTATGTATAAATTTGTTTTCTTTTTTTATTCAACAGATAATCTTCAATAATTATTGGAGATTAAACTACTATTATAAAAATTTTTAAATTTAATTTGTTGTACTTATTGTATTTGTTGTATTTTTGTTATAACTTATTGATTAATATTTATTAGAGATTAAACTTTTATTTAAGATTATACTATTTATTGACAAAGTTAATATATTTTTAGTACTTATTATATTTTTTTCATTATCAATATATTTTCATTAATTGTGTATTTTCTCTATAAATTTTCAATACTTATTGGAGATTAAACTATTGTTATTTATCAAAGCTGAGGCTATTAATTTAGCTGAAATTATGATTGTTCATGAGTTGGTTCGGTTTGGTTCGGTTGTGGGCTATTTGGCCAAGGAAGTTGACCTGGTCAGGTTGGGGAGTTGGTCAACTAAAACCGATTGACCTTTTGTGAAAACCAACTCACTCAAGTTGTATTGGTTGGATCAATTTTTTGGTTTGGTCAGTCGGTTCAAAAGATTTAAACTTAGAAATTTAATTTAATTTTAAAAATTATAGTGTAATTGTTAGAAAATAAATTTAAAAATTAGATTTATGATAGAAAACATTTTAGACTAAGAAATATGGGAAATTTCCCACATTTCCATATTAAAAATTATATTTAAAATATAAAATATTAATATATATCCATGGTTAAGTTGTTTGATTTTGGTTGGTTTATAGATGGCCAAAGTGAAATTGATCCAACTTTGTCGAATTGGAAAATTTTTTAACCAAAGCTGACCTAAAATACTAGAAAACCGACCAACTAGGGTCAAGTTGATCGGGTTGGTCAGTTTTATCAGTTTGATGAATAAACCTAACTGAAATTAATTATTGTTATTTTTGTATTATAAAAAGTTTATTAAAAATAGTATATAAAATATGAATAATTATTAATTATTTAAAAAGTTGAAAATATAAAACAATTGTATACGTTTATAGTTTATGTGTTTCTATTAGGGCCATTTATTAGAGCACACCTTATAGTTTCGGGAAAGTACGGAAAGGCCCACGACAGAATTCTGATTTTCACTGCAGAACAACATTTCAAAATGTCAATTACCTCCACCCTATGCACCATTGCCCGCCCGTGAATTGGCATCAATTCCGAGCTGGCTTCTACCCCCACTGTACTTTGGGCCTATGAATTCTGACGCTGGGCTGAACCATCATTCTCCCTTATAGTTTTACATATTTACTTAAACCTACCTTATAGTTTTCATTTTACTAAAACATCCCATATATTTTACAACTTATATACTTAAATAACCTTTCATTAAGGAGTGTTTGTTTTGCCATTAGGCCCATAATTTTTTATTCAAAAGATACCCTTAACACTTTTTTGTACAAAAAACAAAATTGACTAAATATAGCCAATAGAGTGGTTGCCCGTGTCTTATTAAGGGCAAAATTGGTATTTTATTTTTATTTTTTTGATTAAATTTATTTAAATGAACATTAGGGTCAACACTATCATTTTCCACTGTCATCTAATGGAAGATTGATTAAATCCATTATAAATTATAAGTGGTGTTTTAGTAAAATGTTAACTATAGGGTAGATTTTAGTAAATCCATGAAACAATAAGGGGTATTTTAGTAAATGACTAGTAAATGACCCTTTCTATTATTTAGCTTTTGCTTAATAAATCCCGTGCATCACACGGGTCCCCGCTAGTATATATATTTACATGATGTATATATAATGCAAGTTACAAGACTCACCCTTGATCTCTTGTATTAAAACCAAGAAACAAACCAGCTAACCACAACCTGCGCATATATTATGTTATGCATAACCATCGGTCAAACTGTTTGACATTCATATGACATCCAGGTTACTGGGTTGAGCCAGTGGTCGAACTGTGTTTATGTTATTAACTCTATATGAGCATAATTTTGCTGCTACATGGGACTACTAAGCTTAAAGTATAACATTTGTCTCATATTCTAAATACTTTGGAGGTTTCAACATTATTCTTTATAGATAGGGGAATGGGATGCCTAGAAAAACTTGTATTTGTAAGTGAAAGTCTAGAAAATATTTGCCAAAAGTAATTTTAGTAAGATCTATTCTTACCTTCACCTATTTGCTCTTTGCAATTCTTGATCTTGACACAAGTGGTTGGAAGCTAGACCCAAGGACTTGGTGTGGGGCCTAGTTGTGCCTTGATAGGGTTGTTGAATATTCTTCAATACCTTTTCTTTATTATGAAAGGAAGAATCATCTTCAGTGTTGTAAATGCCTTTTGTATAAATGTCTCTTCATGTGGTAGTTGCAAAAGTATTACTGAACTATTAATTATAATGCACTGGCAAGTAGTGAAGCATTGCAGAAGCACAACAGGTTAGGCCAGACAACTGGTTATATTTTCACATCTCTCTTAGAAAAAAATAGTGTATCATCTACTAGGTAGAAATAAAACTTCTCTGCCAACTTTTGGATTTTTTATTTTGTGAAGTTGACTTAATTGTATGGCTAGTTTGATTTGAGTTCTGGTGCAGGAAGGATGGTGTGATAGTATTGGATCTGTTGAAGAGATTCAAACTAAGTTAATAAAGAGGAAAGAGGCTGCAGCCAAGCGTGAGAGAGCCATGGCATATGCTCTGTCTCATCAGGTGATTTTCTTTCTTTTCTTTTTTTTTCCTCTTTTGTCAATAAACTTGATGGAGTGCCTGTTAATTGGGTACATAAAATCATACTTATATCTGTATTATGATGTTTTTCTCAATGCTTTAAAAGCTGGACTGTGCATTTACTTGGAAAGGCTTCCAGTGCACAGTTCAAATGGTTCCACCATGGTTTGATTGTCACATCAGCAGATTCAGCACAGCTCTATAAATAAACTGATAAAACAAAAATGAGAAAAATGGCGGGAAAAAACAGGAACCAGTTAAATGAGTTATGGTTCAACAGTGGTTTCAACCAAAGTTAACAAATTCTGGATATAGTCTGGATGATCCAGATTCTGGACTTGGAAAATTCTACTTCGACTTAGTTCAATTGACCTATCCAGTCTGGGTTTCAGAAGCTAGTTCTTTGCATCACTAAAAAACCATATGTTGTGACTGAAAATTTTGTTAGTTGTGGGTACATGAAAAGCAGCAGGATGGTCATCCTCAGCTAACCATCCATAGAAGCAATACAACTCTCACCTTGTTCTATAAATTCCCATTATATTGAATTTGTTGTAAGTTGTAACCCCTTGTGTTGCCAGTTCACCTGCTAGACCATTAGCAGACCTTGGTATCCACTGTATCGCTGCTCCTGGTTCTTTTATGATTTCTTTAGCTTCTCTGATTTCATATCTGTGTTTCCATGGTCGCTCTTCCTTGCTTGCCAACCAACCTGTTATGACCTTCAAATCCCCTATTTTTGATAAATAAATAAATCCTTTTATTAATTTAGAAATATTAGCACATACAAGCAGCCCTTGAAGAGGTGTGAGCCGCGAACTCTCCACTAAAGAAGAAAACAAAAACAATAAGTTACAGTTGTGCCCAATACAAAAGTTCTCTAGCTGCCCCTTGCTTGGCTAGACAATCCGCCATAGCATTTGCTGATCTCCCCCAGTGATTTAAAGGGCGTGCCTAGGTGCACAGGCGAGGCACATTTTAGGGTATACGCCTTGCCTAGGTCCTAGGTGCAGGTGTGCACTTGATGCGCCTTGCACCTCAGCCCAGGTATGCGCCTTTTGAAAATTTGACGCTTTTTTTTTGCTTTTTTTTTTGCTTTTTTTGAACCTAGTGGCTAGGCCGAGGGCAGAGCCCTTGGACCCCCATGCCATGCCCCTCGAGGCAAGCCCAAACAAGTCCCTATTTGGTAATGTTGTTCATTCATTCATCCTAATAAAATATCTTTTTTAAAATCAATTAAAATTATACAATCATTATTTTTGTGTGAACTCTAAGAATTTAAGACCCTAACATGAACTTGTTTGGGTTTGCCTCGAGGGGCATGGCACAGAGGCAGCTCGTAGAATCAGGATTGTAATATGTTTTACATCACATTAGCTACTTGAAGTAATGCAATTGAGGAAAAAAAGAGATTGTGGGTTTTATATGCTTCAAAATGTTTTATATGTTTGGTTTTATTTTTAAATTCTAATTTGGATATGCTTTACATGTTATGTTCATGTATTTTAATTTTAGATAATAGGTTTTTTTTACTTTTTTAAAACATTTATTTAAAATTTAAGTTTATATTTTTTAATAATATTATGTTTAATATTTTTTTTTTGCATTTTTGGTATTTTTTTTGAATTTTCTGTCTTTTTTTATTTTTTAACATTTTTTTTTTTATTTTTGCTCCTTGCTTCAGAAAGGCGTGCAACTCGGGCACAAATTGACCCCTGCGCGTTGTGCTTTTAAAGCATTGATCTCTCCACCCATTGTATTCTTAGGCACATGTTTCTTGTCAGCAACTTAAACTTCTTAATTTCATTCCTGAAATACCAAACTACTGACTCTGGGTTCTGCAACCAGCTTAATCCGACCTTGGAGTCACCTTCAACTATTAGCTTCCCCACCCCTAATCGAGCTGCAAACTGTACACCTTGCAAGGCAGCAAACAATTCTGCTCGAGTCTCCCACTCCTAGAGGGCCTGAGAAGATAAGTATCACATTTCCAACTTCATTCCTCAACCCCCAACTAAGAGGGGCCTGGGTTTCCTTGACTGCTTCCATCAAAATTCAACCTCAAGAAACCCCTGTAGGTGGTGATAACCAGCTTGTTTGTACTCAAATCTTGGAAGTTGAACAACTTGCCACTGCTGTCCAATTCCTCCAAATATCATTAAAGGAGAATTGGTGGAACAAGTCCAAAGATTTCAGCCAATGAATCACCCTATACAAAACACAATCCTTATTCTCTTGATGGTTTCTTTCCTTCTCCTGGAAAGTTCTAGTATTCCTTTCTTCCAAATTGTCCAGATCAATGCAGCTCTTGCACACATCTGCATAATTTTACCTCTTTTCCACTGCCAAACAAAAGTAGAGGGATCAAAAGCAAAATTAAAATCTGCTGGCAAGTTCCACCTGCTCCCAAACAGAGGAGCCAATCTCATAACTCTGTAGTAAAAGAACAAGAAATTAGTAAGTGATAACAGTCCACTCTGAGATATGCAAAAGATGTACTAGTTGGGGTAAATACAGAGAAAAGGTCTTCTCTTTTGTAGATTGTCCAAGGTATTTACTTTCCCATAGTACACTAACCAACAAAAAGCCATAACCTTAGGGGGAATAGGCATGCACCAAACTTCTTTTAAAGGAAAGGTCGGCTGTGGGTTAGAACAACGGTGGGATTTGAAGAAAGAAGCACAAGAGAAGGACCTTTCGATCGAGGTGTCCAAATTCTTTTGTCAGGTTCAAAGGGGTTTAGACAATTTTCAAGAAGGCTCAATAAATTGGCTAAACACTTGATTCCCTCGTCCCTTAAACCTCTACAGTACCCAAAATCCCAAGTTGGAGCACAAGGAGTTTCCAATGAGGAGCAAAATTTTGAAACAACTTTTTTTGTATTGAGAAATAGAGAACAAGGAGGGGAAAAGGATCTTCAAGGGTACATCTCCATCCCAAATGTCCTCCCAAAAGAGGATAGAGTTGCCATCACACACATCATACCTGATATCATAGTTGTCAAGGCAACGCCTAGGCGACAAGGTGCCCTTTTGAGGCTCGCCTTGCCTAATCACCAAGCAGTTTTGTACTTTCTATTATAAAATACTTGTTTATTCTTTATTTTTTAACATTATAATTATAAAATAGACATTATTAAACTAAAATATTCATTTTGTGTGTTTATATACTAATTTCTTTTTATTATTTTCTTATTTGTTATGGCTTATTCAATACAAACACTGCTAAATGCTGTATTGAACCCTCAAAGACTTCAAAACCTGAACCAATAAGTAAGGAAGAACTTAAAATTTTGTTTAATCAACACATTTTCTTCTTCTTCTTCTTCTTCTACTACTACTACTACTACTACTACTTTTTTCTTTTCTTGTTTTTCTATATCAAAAATAAGGGTTTAGCTCCTATATTTTTTCATATTTTCTTTTCGTTCTTCTTTTTCTTCTCATGAATAAGTTGCTTTTCTATGCTTCAACATGAACTCTATACTTTTTTGATGAAACTTATGAATAATTATTAAGGAAATATGGTTATGTTACTCAAGTTATTACCCTAGGATCTATGTTTTTTACATAAAAAAATCCATTGCCTAGGTGATGCCTAGGCTCCCGACTAGGTGACAAGGCACCCCCTTGTCGCCTAGCCTCGCCTTGGCGCCTTGAAAACTATGCTTGATATAACTGAGTAACTGAGGAAGAATATTGTGCATTGCCTTCCAAGGGGTTGCCAAAGTTGCCCTCTTTGATACAACAACATCCCATCCATTCTCTGAGCATCCATGAATGCTTCTGATCACCTCATACCACAATCTCTCTCTTTAGAGGCCACCTCCATAGCCACTTACCCAGTAGGGCTGTATTTTTTTGAATTAAGTTCTGTAAGCCCAAGACCCCTTCCTCTTTACTTCTACACACCACCTCCCGCTTAATTAAATGATCTTTCGTACTTTCCCCTAGTTTCCAAAGGCCTCTCATTAATTTTTCCAACTTCTTAGCTTCCCAAGTTGGGATCCTAAAGACAAAGAGATAGTATGTTGGTAGGTTCGCAGGTGTAGATCTTATTAAGGTGATTCTACCCCCCACCCCCACAAAGAAATGTAGTTCTTTTTCCATGAAGCCAATCTCTTCTCAAATTTCTCTACAACTGGGCACCAAAACCGACTCTCCCGAGGATTTGCTCCAGGATGAAGCCCCAAATAGGTCAAAGGCCACGTAGAGATAGAATACTCTAAGCATTTTACAATAGCCTCCACTTCTCTTCAATCCAAATTGACCCTTGCTATGCAAATCTTTTCAAAATTGATTTTCAAGTTAGAAATACTTTCAAACTTTCTAATCAACATCTTTAAACTTATCACCCTCTCAAGATCATACCCCTTACAGAAAAATAAGATATCACCTACAAACTAGAGATGGGTAACTAGGGTCTCATTTCTACCAACTCTCCACCCTCTAACTACACCTTCTCTATCAGCCTTAGAGATTAATCGACTAAGCACATCAGCAACTAAGGTGAAAAGAAAAGGTGAGAGAGGGTCCCCCTGCTTGATACCCCTTCCAGTTGAGAAGTTCTTCACCACTTTGTTCACCAAAATTGAATAGTGACAGGAACTAAAACATCCTAAGATCCAATTACACCATCTTTCTCCAAAGCCATAGTTTCTTAAGACTTCAAAAATGCATTACCAGTTCACCATGCATAAGCCTTTTAAATATCCAACTTACACACAAAGCCTTTTCTATCAGATCTCCGCAAATCTTCCACACTTTCATTGACGGTCAAAATTTGGTCAATTATTTGTCTTCCTTGAAAGGCCCCTTGGGCTTGGCTGACTAAGGAGGGGATAACTTCTTTAAGCTTCAACAACAAAACCTTACCTTGGATTTTGTAGATGCTTTTCACCAAGCTAATTGGTCTAGAATCCTTCGGGTGACTAGCATCTGGTTTCTTAGAGACTAAGGCCAAGAAAGTGGCGTTTACACCCT